TTGAGCTGGGTTTTTATTGGGACTAATCATAATAATGAGTACATGGATGAATGGAGGTTAGAAAGAGATGGTAAAAGATGTACCCCCTCTCCTCAACCCCTAACATTGAATTAAATTTGATAAAAAGTTACCACAAACGGTATCGGATTTGAAAAATCGCTAATCCTGAAGGTCCTGATCAGGATAATGGGACAAACTATTTAAATTATTGCATTGTCATCGGTCCTTGATAAGTGTGCAAAGTATCAAATCAATCCGACGTTTTTAAGGGGGTCAAAATTACGTTCAAAGATTCCGTTATATAGATACATACAAGCGTGTTAAAAACAATTAATATATTATCAATATGAATGTAGATATAGATTAAAATTTCTCCAATTTACTCGCACTCTTATATCCAAGTAGAAGACAATGACACTCTGGGAAACAGTAGCAAAGCCTACACAGAACATGAGGCTAATGACCTAAATAAAATAGTCTTATTATTTAATTTATACCTTTTGGTATGACACATATTTTCGAAGGTAATAGAACAAGGGAATTGAATATTTTAGATTTCTTCCGAAAAAGACTAAGAATTTTCGATAATCGTCAATTACAGAAGTTGCATTTGTTGAGATTATTAAACGAATATTTTCTATCGACTTTGTTTTTTATTTCTTGTAATTTAAATTACCAAATCTATTATTCAATATGGATGGATTTATTTTTTACTTGATTTATTTGACAGTGGCGTTTATGATTTTTGTAATTCGTAATTCATAAAAGAGGCCAATAGGTACAATGTATTAGTGTGACGTATCTGTAACGTGTGGAAGATGGGTTACCCCATCACACTTAGGCCTCACTAGGCTTATTGTTGCTTGAAAAAATAAACATTGAATTTAATTCGCTTTTTAAAAAATAAATATGTGGCTTGGAAATATTTTTATTTATGCTGTAATGTAACATAAATATAGGACAATTTATTGGAAGAGGATAAATTGTATAGTGTAACTTATTGCTATTTTAAAAATAACACAAAAATTGAATTTCCCAGGTTATAAAATAAAATGGACTTAAAAAAAAAGAATTTTAAACCTTTCGTACAAAAACTCATTACTTAAACTTTCGCCATAACTTCTCATTTATTTCTCTTTAATATTACTTGAATTGATTTCAGATCATTTTATTATAATTTTACCAAAATTTTAACTAGTAACGATAAATATCTAGTAGATTGTCATTATTTATCGATTTTTTTAATTAAATTTTTTCCTAATAACAAAAAAATATAATGACAATAAAATTAGTTGACAAAATTAAAAAATTAGTAATTTATATAACAAGAGCGTAGGTATATGAAGTTTGAGCACGACGCCATAAAAATTCAGATTGTGCAGTATATTTATTCTACAATCCTCAAACGAAAACGTACAATATTTCAAAATTAATTAAGGGGTTAAGATAAAATAACTATTTTAAAAATTTAATTAGACCTTATCCTAGATTTGAACCCCGCAACTTTCGCAAGAAAACTCACTACTCTGTCTCTGCATTAACGAGACAAACAACTTTTTTCTCTAATACTGATAATTAGATTGGTTTTAGCGTTAATTAAATTTACGATTTATTTGTAAATATAGACGAATATCTTGGGGAATGCTATTATTTATTTAAAGATTTATCACAAAAATCGCACATTTTTAATTATATTTATTCACAATAACTAAAAAATATAGTGACAATTCGTTTGGCAGAATTGTTACATATTTAAAATTAAAAAAGAATAGTAGTAACCAAGGTCACCAAATATGAACTGTGATTGGTGCATTTCATACCCGTAGAGTATCCTTTCTAGAATGAATATGGATTATATTCATTAAGTAGAATGCAATGGCATGCTTTTTACTTTCCTATCTGTATACAGATATAAGAAAAGTATAGGAATCATGATTTTTGGTTCTGTAGCCTGTGCTTAGAATTTATGTATAATATCCGTATGGGTGTAGAATATTTAGTTAGCGGACTACTAAACATTTGGTGGCTTTAATATACATTATAGAAAAGATATAACGTTATATCCGTTTACTAGACTGATCGTTGTTATAACGTCTCACAAACAAAAGCATCTAACGAATGTGGTTTATGGATAAAGCGTCGACGTTTCAAACAAGAGGACGTGGATTCACATTTATATTTTCTTCAATTTTGTCTTAGTTTTAATTACTGACTTCAGCGATAATTCTGTACTACGTTGTCCGATTTCTATGATTCATTTTGTTAGAAAGGGGATAGATACATCGGGGGTAGTTCCATATTGGTCAGAATCTGATAATCTTTGAGAAAATAAAAAAATTCAATTTTTAAGGAGATCTTCTTCTATCTGATTATGGGCTTAATCCGAGGACTATTCACCCAGGTTAAGTTATTTTTTTCAAATTTTGTTTCCACTGCACTTGATAATTAGTTTAAATATTCTTCTGTATTCTTGGCACAGAATATTTTATTTAATTTAGTATTATTTTTTAAAGTCGGATGGTCACTTTTACACTAGATATTTAGTGATTATTATTGAACTTCAGGGCTCCCGATTCGGAGACCGCCATTTCAATGTTGCCACGACGATGTCCAAATCGGAAGTCCTTCTTATATTCACATTTGTCAATAAATAATAAAATAAGAAATACCTATGTAATGTTAAGTTAAATCTGTGTTTCGCTGGAACCATTTTTCTAAAATTTCATTTAGTTTTTTCTGAACATGAAAAAATTTAAAATTGTCAAAATAATCGAAATTTTGCTACTTTTTTTCAGAGTAAGGAACATCACAGATTTAACCTATACGTACATATTTTTCGCCAAAAGTTTGCTTGGTTATAGGTAATTATTTCGCAAAGCTGCGTACAGACCATGCCAACGAACGGCATTAGCCCTTGGATCCTAAACATTTGTTGTCCCTCGTTAATATGTACATATGCATTTGTTGTTAAATCAAATATTCATTGGGGTACGTATGAGGAAGGAGTTTACGTGAAAACAATGGTCCAATTTGTTCGTTGTTACTCGTATGGACATCCGTCCATATTTCATTCGCTCGAATCGCCTAATTCTTTTGATGTTACCGCTACGATTCGGCTGGTCGGCAAACGCCAGCGAACCTTCGTTGGTATTCGCTAAACCGTATATAACGTACCAACGAAACCCCTGTCGGTATGTGTACTAATATACGTGAAATCATGAATGGATAATGGATTAAATTTAAATATATATGTTGAACACAATTAAAATATTATTTTTACAAATTTGATAATTGGTTTCAACGTGATTGGAATTGGTTTAGACTATTTGCTTTGGTCCTTAAAAAATCATATTTTATTTCTTTTACCATTTTTTAAGCTTTTATTTTTATTGTTTTTAAAGTTGCAACAACTGCTCGGATATATTTGAAATTGTCTACCCAATCTTAGACCTTAATCTTTTATCGTTTTCAAATTCATTTGGTACTAAAATTAAATGCAATTAAAGTCTCGCCTTAAGTAAATAACTCGAAAACTGGAAGATACATCGAATTTATAAATAGTGATAGAATCAACATTCATTATGTCATAATTATTGCTTCAAAGGATATTTTCAGTAATAATAATGTACAAATGTTAAATTAATCACTTTGTATATCACTTCGTTATGGATGTATATCTCGCAAAGTGCACATGCAACGGGAGTGACTCATAAGTAGGCACAACAAGGGGAGAAATTGAGTTCCAAAAGTGACCAATCCAAAAGTATACCCTTTTCAAATCAAATATTAATTACAGGAAACAATTCACTAGCAGGGGTGAAAAGTAAAATGATAATTGAAATTGGACGGGACTTTATTGTTGTGGTTTATATTCTAGTCAGATGTATCTATTATAATTTTTAATTTTCATTTCACTTACAATAGTGTGGGGATGTCAATAGATTAAGTATAAGGGGTTAAAGAAAAGGTCCTTTATTTCTCACAAGTCAAGGACCTTTTCTTTAACCCCTTATACTTAATCCCTACTACTCACATATGGCTGCCTTCACTCCAAAAGATGTCAATAGAGTCTAATCCTAGTCGCCAGGAGTCACACATCGATAAAAAATTATGATAGTAGATTTAAAAATCGTAATATTTTTAGATATATGTTTTGGAAATGTTCCTCATAAAAAAAAAATCTGTAACGAATCCGGTTGTATATGTTTGGAAATTTCTAAGAAATAATTCAAGATTTTTTTATCGAAATTATTTTGGTCGATCGATAAACTTTAATCAGTAACTTTTTGAGTTTTACAAAATTGTTGATAATTAACTCTTAATTTAGAAACAATGTTGTTCATTACAAAAAAATGTTTTTAATAATATTACTGAATTTTGTTAAAATGCCATCAAAAACAATGATGTACAGATAGATAGGCATAGCCAACACAACTTTTATTTATTTTTTTTTTGTATCTGCTAAATATATTGAATAATAATGATGATATAGGGTGGATAATTTATAATAAAAACCCTGTACATTTACCAAAAAAATCCGATGGATACATATTCATATTTTTGAAATATACCCCTCTATGAGATGACGTAAAAAACAGACATCATTATTTTTTAATGTGTGCAATTTTTAAAATAATGCGCATCTAACTCTATAAAATGGTATTACAAGTTATTAATCTGAACATCCAAGATAATTCTTGCCATTCTATGCATAAAGAGTAATTCATAGAAAAATGTTTTTAAAGTAGGCCAAAATTGACAAAGATAGATGTACGAGTCATGTCCGTGATAATTAGGTACGCACGCCTCTGAATTAACTCCAAAATCCCATTTAAAAAAGAAGAATTGTACGCTTCGACGTTTGTGGTTTTTTCATGGCCTACTTTAGAAACGTCTATTTGAGATATCTTAAATTTCAAACATTTTGAACGTTTAGAATATTTACAAAGGCTATTTTTCAAAATGATCTAAATTTTATATATTTTAATTAAATTTTTTGTTTCAGCCAACGGTTAAAAAACCGAAGCCACCCAAGATGGAAGGAAGAAGGCCACCTGTGTATAGTCCAAAATCTAGAACTGATGTAAGTACTTATTTGTTCTAAAATAAAACATAAAAATAATAAAATAATACATTTATTACATCAGAATATATTGAAATATCCCTCTAGTTATTACAGGCTTTTTCCGGTTATTTTGTACAACCTATTGTATCACCCCTATAAATGTTTTGAGGATGGAACTAAATACATATTATATTTTCCACACACGTCTCACTCGAAACATTTTTTATATATATTCATTACCAAGAAAATACCGAAAAAGTTTTATTTTATACTTTCCTCAAATTTATCCATTACGGTCCACTTTAGAGAAATCATGTATAGAGAATGACAAAGCATTTAAAAAATATTTTTTCTCCAAGCGTAAATAATATATATTTCATAAAGTAGAGCAACGACAACCTTGTAATAGACACTTTTATATATTGTATATTTTTGTAATGGGGGTGAACCCGTAAATAAATAAATAAAGTATCCCCCCAGATGTTCCGACTATGCCCAAAATTTAATCATTTCACCGCAGGTTGGATTAAAGCTTAAATTTTAAATTTGGTGTTTTTCTCTTTATTCGTTTTCCAAATTTTCACTTTTCCTTAAATATCTCGAATACGGTCTATTTTAGTGAAATCATATATGAGATAAGAATTATAGAGAATGACATCACAAATAATTTTATTAAAATCTTGCACTTTTTGTAAATTTCTCGAACACGGACCACTTTAGGAAAATTATGTATTGTGCAAAAATAGAGAATAACATCACAAGCAACTTTTATTTAAAGAATTTTCTTCTCAAAGCGTAAATAACAGATATATTACATAAAGCAGAAAAAACGACCTCTTATAAAGTATCCCCTAGCTCATTTGGTTATTTTCTGTTTATCCTCTCATAAGTTATCGAGTATACAGATACACAGATAGACACTCACAAACATCATCGCGAAAAAAATCTGTCGAAAACTCGAGGTCGAAAAAAATTATCCCTATACTTTCCTTATCTGTATACAGACAGGTTTAAGACCATGCCAAACCTTTTTTAATTAATAATAAAAAAAATTCAACATGACAATTTCCAACTTAAGTAGACATATTTTATATATTTTCCGAATTTTACCTCCATGGTGGCCGAAAATAGACAATAAGGCATTAAAAATATTAAATGTTTATCAGAAGTGTTTACTTATAGGTTAGTAGTGAAAGTGGTGGCAGAACGGATAGTGGGCGGCTGCGAGGAGATGGAGGCGGCGGAGGCAGCAGTGACGAAGATGCAACGTCTAAAGATCTTCGACAACGTCTTCAAGAAGAGGCCTCGCTTTATAAGAAACGCCTCGACACGTATAGGCAAGCTCAACAAAACCAAGCAGCGCTTGTTAGCAGGTTACAGGCAAAGGTACAATTTCAATTCTTATACTTAAAAACAAGAATTTAGAGTTAACTTACAATAATTATTAATACAAGCAGAAATGAATTCAAAATATTTTCATCATGAAAAATTGAATTCACACAACTTGCGCGTAAAGTCAACAAACCCATGCTGAAAATATGTATTTTATGTTTAAATCGTTGTTATGCTACCCTTTAACGATAGAAATGTTTGAATATATTATTTTCTGGAAAACATCTGAATATAACTATCAAATCCATGTATTGAATTCTATTTTCATTTGTAATATTTCAATAAGTACCACTTTTTTTAGAGATTAACTTATTCGCTGCCGGCGCGCTCCCAGATATAGAAACCTAGTCCCAATGTTGTTTTTCGGAACTTACTTCACCATTCTACATGTTTGCGTTTTTCCGAACGCACTTTAATATTGGACGTATGTGCAGCTGTCAAAAAAATTTGGTTACGTATGGTCAATTTTTCTTAGACCAGGGTAGCTATTCACTAAGTCATGGGAGCGCTCCCGATCGACGGCACCACAGCACAACTTGCTACAGCCATATCATTTACTAATGTAACTAACTATATTGTGAAATAAAGATTGAATATGTAACTTTACTTGCCTTATTTGAAATAAAAATAAATAAAATATAAAATTCTAACAAAAAAGAAACAAAATGTAAAATTCTTACTAAACAAAAAACGAACATAAACTAAACAAAAAGAAATAATAAATTAAATTAAAATCTGCTACTACAGCAACAGTTTATTTCTTTTAATATTTTATTTCTTTTAATATTTTATTTCTTTCCTCTTTTGCTATTGTTCTCCTTTGGTTGTCTAATAATGTTTCTTCTATTTTTAATATTTCTTCGTGGTACCGTCTTTTATCGTCCCTTATTGCTTCTAGGGTGCTTTTTCTTTTAATTGTTTTTTTGTTAAACTTTTCTTTTGGTTCTGCCTGTAGTTCTGCATCAGTTAAGATTGGTACTGGTTCTACATTTATGATGTCGTCGTTATTATACACCACATCGGGAGTTATATATTTTTTTTTCAAAAATTTTGTTCATTTTTGTTTCGTATTCGAAATATTTACGGCATCTACCGGTGGACTTTTGGTTATCGATGAATTTTTTATAATTGCGCTCCAAAACCCTTCACCGGTTTTGGCAGTGATTTGGTGTAATCAGTGGATTTTTTTTTTAATTCTTGACTAATTTTTATCCATAAACTTTTCATGTTTTTTATTTTAATTGTACCCACTTGTTTTACATACAAATGGTACAAATCCAATAAAATTTTGGATTCGTTAACGCTCCACTTATACCTATTCCACTTTTGGGGTTCCCGTCATTTCATCTAAAATAAGAATATTTTTTTTAATATAAATGTGTAACTAGATTTTTTCAGGCTTACCATGTTCTGCCATCATGGGACATCCCCTGAAGTTGATGGCAAGATTAAAAATCCCCCTAAAACTAAAATAATATTAGTAATCGCAAAATATATATGTTTCTCACCTTCAGTACTTATATTTCAGTTCATAACGCCGAGGCTATCGAGCATGAAAATCATAAAATAAATACTATTAGCTTTTATTTCTTCATTAATCATATAGCACATAAGTAAGAAGCCAGTAAACGTTCCTCTTTTTCTTAAAATTTAAGACCTCAGCTACCATGCTATGTCCAGTATACGTTGAGTACAAAAACCGTCCCAACTCGCCTTGCAACAAAATCAGTTTTATAACGATGCATATTATTGTCATGCGCATTAAACGGTAAAACTTCGGTTTCGCAGCTATTAGGGAACAGTACATAAACTGCAGTTGGGACAAATCTTCGTGTTGCACTCTGACATCAATGCTATTCGACATCCTCTATGCCAGAAATAATATTTTAAAGACTTTCACAAAAAATCTATTGAAACAATTTGCTAATTCAATTTTTTTCTCTAATAAGGACTTTTTGACCATTGTTTTCAACTTGAATACCAATAGCGAAATGGCTAGTTAATTGTTTTAGATTAATTTTTTCAAAGTTTGCCACATTAGACGAGGGTTGATTACGAGTATAATAAAATTTACTTTTATTTCCTTTAATACTATTAACTACAGCAGTACGTTTATTTTTATCATTTTGCCAATAAACATCATTGGAATTATTTTTAAATAACTTGTACGCATGAATCTCTCTCTTTGCTTAGTTTTCTAATTTGATCATCTTACCATGGTAGATCTTTTTTAAAAAAAAGTGACGGTTTTTAAAGGTGCAATATCATTTAAAATGTTTTCATAATTCTGTTTAATATTATTATAAAATCTTTTTTATAATTTGTGCTATTAAGTAAAAAATTAAAATTAATTAAATTTAAATTAATACTGAACATCTGTTTTTGTCAAGCTACTAATTTCTTTTTTGTTTATTGGTAAAAATAATTATTTCACTGTAAAAACATCAGATATTATGGAATGATCAGTAAGTTTAGGTTCATCCAAAACAGTTGCTAAGGTATTATCCTATTTTGTTAACACATAATCAATTAAGAATGCATTATATTTTTCTATTTTTATAGGTACTGCAATATAAGAAAAGATGCTCCGATCTGGAAGCACAAATGGTCCAAAATCCAATATACCTCGACCAACCATCTCAACCTTCATCTCTGCCAGTATATCCCATGACTCATACTCCTAGTTCGGCAATCGAACAAGCTCAACAACACCTCAGGGAAATCAGAGAGGAAAGAATCACCGATTTAGAGACTGCCTTGCTTAGGTTGCAGGAAGAACAAAGAAAGTAAGTTTCTCTCTTTTTCTAAATGCTTTTACCAATCTGTAAGTCTGATAAACTTTTGACACATTTTGTTTTTTTTGTACACAAAGAACGCTTTTTCAATCATTTGTTTTTATTTTTAGGTCAGAACGATTAATGCAGTTAAACGCATCATTAAGAGAACAATTAGAAGAATCTCATAGTACCAATGAAGCCTTAACAGCTGATCTACAAAAACTTACAAACGACTGGGAAAACCTTCGCGAAGAAATGATTATAAAAGAAGACGAGTGGAAAGATGAAGAACAGGCTTTCAACGACTATTACAGTACAGAACACAATAGACTTCTCAATCTTTGGAGAGATGTCGTTTCAGTTAAAAGATTGTTCACAGATATTCAGACGAGTACTGAAAGAGACTTGAACAAGATTAAATTCGACGTTTCTGGAATTACAAAAGAAATGATTATGGCGTGTAGCAGGATGGATAGTAATTTGTTCACTGAAAATATTTTTGGGGTAATTTTGAGTGTACCTTTGAACAGTATTCATTTTTCCCATTGCATTCAATTTTTTTTACAATGGTAAAAAAAAATAGTTTCAAAGAAACGTATACCAATAACTTTATAGAAAATTAAACGTTGAGTTTTTAATTATATTTTTTTTCCTTAATTTACTATATAACTAAAAATAGCAATCAGCAGGGAGAAAATTTGGTAATTTACATTTAAATATAATTTTATTATTTATTATTTTTAAATCTAATTATTCTACTTTTAAGGGTAAAGAAAAACAACAACTCGAACAGGAAGTAACGGAACTTCGATCTCAACTAGATTCTCTCAAACTTCATTTAGATACTCGTCAAAATGAATTGCAAATGAAAGATGATAAAATTCAACATTTAGAGAGAGACCTACATACACTTGTGAGTATTAATGAACATATTGAAACGTTATTATGCCTATTAAACAAAAAGTAATCACGTAAAAAAAACAATGAAAAGGAAAATTCTATTTTAAAATTTCTCAATATCTTTATAAGATTTAACAACATGAACATAACATTAGTGGCGGCTGGTAAGAGAGGGCGCTGGGGCGCCGTCCTCCCTGCGAGGAGTATAGCAGGAGTCATTTGCAAATCAGTATTTCCATATACTTAATAGGTAAATAAATGCAATAAAGTTTGTGAGCGAAAAATTTAATTAGCTACGGACGAGCCAGACCTATGCAATACGAATAGGAATAATACGGTTTTTCTCTATCATAATAAATGCGCGCTATAATTATTGTAAAGGCGTAGTACCAGCAGCCCATAGCGAATCGCTGGACGGTTGCTATATGGTTACCGACGATGTCAACTTGTAGCTCTGTTCTGGTTTTGAGAAATAACGATCCACAACTGTCGGGCTCAGTGTAGGAAGGAGGTGAAACATTTTTTTCATAATTGGGTTATTTTGAGATATTATAAAAAAATTCGAAGAGTAGACCGACCTCTTTCTCCCACCCCTTTTTTTCTACGTTATCTCGACTATTAATGATTATTTTCAATATGTTTCATGAGAGGGTGCAAGCTGAGGTCAGATATAGTAGAGCGATGGAGGTTTCCCACACACCCTTTTTTAGAGGCCTCAAGAGTAACCTCAAAATAATAATTTGAAATTAATCAGAATCGGTTTAACAAAAATGGTTAATTTATTATTAAATATCCGCATATAGGATAATATGTCTAATGTTTACGTTTCTTAAAATGTTCCAGAAAGAAAGATGTGCTGATGCAGAACACAGTTGTGGACAAGTGGTAAAAATGCAAGATGAAATCGACATTTTGCAAGGAGCACTCAGGGATATTGCTCATGCTTTAATTCAAGATGCCGAGAGCAAAGATTTAGAGATGCTTCAATCGACGCATCTTCATCTCAGCGCAGGAACTCCAATACCTCAAAAGTAAATGCGTAATTTTTTTGTCTTAACTGAAGATAAATATACAAAGATTTTAAAGATAGGCTTCGGGTAGAAGTTTTTTTAAACTGTTTATCGAATTCACTTTATGTGTAATCATAAGCAAATACTTCTTGAGAGCCCTTATCAAACTATCACCTCAGGAGGTCCTGATCATTTTAATTTAATTGTTAATTCACTTTTTCATCAATAGTTTTAAAATTTCATTGAGATTTCTATCTTAGAAGCCAATCAATGATAAAAAGCTTTGTATAAGTAAATTAAAACATTCATACTTACTTGTAGATCGCCAAAAAGATCGGCTCGCAGTATGACTTCCCCAGCAGCATTTGCTGAGAGTACGATATCAGCTGTGCAAGCCGCTCTTCATAAATATCAATCATTTATTCATGAACTACAGGTAAATCATTCATTCTTTCATCACCACTAAATTATATGCACACCTCTTGATTGCATTTAGGCGGTATCCCGCGCGTTTAAAATATTTGCAATGTCATTAGATTCCCTAATAAACTAAGTGACAAAAACTTCATATTTATATAATTGAAGGGGTAATCGATCATGAGTATTTTTCTTTTCTTCATGAACAATCAGTTTAAAAGAGGAACTATGCTGAATGGACTATAACATAACAACGCATCTGCGTAGAAACATTCAATAATGGTGTATACATTTTTCCATTTATTTAAAAACCATTATTGATGAAAATTCCCGCCTAAAATCACTCTATAACTACACATTGTTATAACGGTGCCAAATATTATATCCCAAAGGCGAATATTTTTAAAACATTTTGAGTTTTCTTCTCGTAATGCGTAGATAGTTTCAGTGGTTTGTATTTTGTTCTACTTGTCACTTGCCTTGTTTTAAAAATAGTTCTATAGGTATATATAATTGTATAGATTAATTTTAGTTTATAATTTTAATTTTATATACATATATGTCAGTTTGAATCTAAAATTAATCCATGATATCTACCTACCTTTGGTACAGTTGCGCATTGTAACAATAATGATTTTTTAATCTCAATTTTCTTCTAAATGCCTAAATAAATGGACAAATTAATATTTTCTTGTTGATTATTTCTATGTAAATAGGATTGAAAATCCCGATGCGTTGTTATAGTTCATTCAGCATAGTTTTTCTTCTAAACGTTCATTAAAATAAGAAAAATATATCCCTTCAAATATTTTAAAATAATTCATCCTTCATCGAAGGTGTACACGTACAGGTGAGATCAGAAGTCAAACAGATTTTTTAAAACATAATATGTATTACAGCGTTTTCAAATTGACTTATAGAGGGATTTTTTTACTTTTAATGTATTAATTATTAGAAGTCCGTGAATCTAAACTTGATGATAGTTTTTAATCCCTAACGACCTTTTCAAATTATATTTTGTACAATAATTAAATAAGAAGCCCTTTCTCCTTAGCATAAATCAATATTTTTGATTTTTTTTTATTACTACTAAATATTTCTTGATTATTGATTTTTATGTGATGCAGATCATTTTATGAAGAATATGTCTTTTTGTATAATTATTAATGAATAATTACCCATTTGATGCCAACTTTTTCAGACATACTGCATATTCGTTAAGTTCTCTAAAGCAAAGAATACCTACCCACAGTTTATAGCTAAAGAATCAGTTCGCTCACTCTGCGTCGGCACTTTTGATCTCAATGTTCCAGTTTATACATTGCGCAACTCGGATTTGTATCCCTGGCGCATACATAATCAAATCATAATAGCCCAAGAGCCAACTGCAAAGTTTTACCGCCATCTGATAATGAAATAAAATATACCCCAAAAGCTTGTAAAAACATTGTACTTTACCAAATGTCAACTGTGCCAATCCCAATCCTCAGCAAAGTGGTTAAAAAAAATGTTATATTAAAAATATCACATAAGGCATGACAGCGCTAATTTTGTTTGCCCTTAAAGTTTTCCAGATAATAACATATTCAAATATATCTTGATATATATCGTTAACGGGAAACATTTTCTTCCTCTTAACATCGCACAAAAACATCTACACACGATTAGTATGTAAAAATCATTAAAAATATGAATTAATTTTTGCTGATCTAAAAATGTATTTGTATGCCTATTGTTATGATTCATTTTTACGGGTTGCTATAGAAACGACAAAAAAAACTATGAATATGGTTTATAAGAATAATTGTCTAACAAGAGTTTATAATTTTTATTGACTTTCTCTGCAAATGGTTTATACAATGACATCCTTTTTCCTTTCACACATACACATGGTTTAAAAGGTAGGTAAAAATATTAATAATTCATGTTTAAAAGCTAGGTTCACAATTAATTAGGAATGTATTTTTCAGGGAAAACACAATTATCGCTGTCATGTCTTATGTGATTTTTTGAATATAAGATTGGCACAGGTGCAATTTGGTAAAGTACAATATTGTTACATGTCTTTGGAGCATATTTAATTTTGTTATCAGATGAAGGTCGTAATTTGTAGAGTCGCTCTCTTACTATAACCAATTAGACATTCCAACGACCTGTCAAACAATGGCTGCCAGCACAGAAGAAAGAACAATACAGAAAATAAAGTATTGGTCGGAACTTTTAAGTAGAAGGGACAGAAATATTTGACCTTCAGTTCCACCACAGAGATACTCTGAGAAAACGTAACTATTCACAGTACACGCGAACGTAGCTACACTGCGAAAATTACATTTGACCTTCAGTTCCACCACAAAGATAATCTGAGAAAACGAAACTATTTACAGTACACGCGAACGTAGTTACACTGCGAAAACTACATTTCTCTTTTAGAGAAATATGTCGACCCATGCAACGAAGACTATATGGTAGCTCATTTTTGAGAGTTTTTGAGTTATCAATATCCAGCGCATATATTTGCCATAAGCTTTGACTTAAATAAGTATCGTATGTGTAAACGAAGAGGTTAAGTAACCAGAAATACTACCATAAAATATGGTAAATCATTTTAGACCATAAAATACTACGAATACTATATTAGCTTAGATTTTCCCAAAACTAGAAATAATGAGTTACTACAGTCTTCGTTGCATGTGTCGGTGTGTCTTATTTTATGAAAATTTGCATGAATGCATAGAGGTCCCAAAAATAAAAATTATAAAGCTTTAAACAATAGATTATTTATATTATAAAAACGGTAAAAAAACAATTGAGAAACTATGTACTCAAATTATGTACATGTTATCTAAAAAAAGAATCACACACCTGACATATTTTGTTAAAACTATTACATGGTATTCATAACATAACAAAATCGTTTTAAGTGTTTAAAAATTAAAATAATTAAAATTGTTTACACAGATTTATAGAGCAAGCCTAATTTATAATACATAGATCTTTATTAAAAAAGCTACATCCTAATATACAACAAAAATGTAGAATAATTATATAAACCTGTACTTATAAAAAATAATAAATAATGAGTAATTATTTTTCTTCTTTTTTGCACCAAACAAACGTTTCCTTAACGTTGCAATCTTCAGTCGCAATCTCTGCTTTCTTGGAGTGTTTGATGATAACACACTACTCGTTTGAATTTGTGCTGTTACACAAGGTAGAGGAACAGATGGTTGACTATGCACTTATTCAATAGATTCTACTTCTGCTGAAGTTGAGGGTAGACACAAGTTGTCTTTGCCTTCTTCGCCATGAACAACAAATTCCTCTAAAAAAAAGAAAGAGAAACCAAATTTTTATTAGATAAACTGGTGTCAAGAAACATTTGTCAGAATTAAATGTTTGAGTCACACTTTTTAGCCAGATAAAATTTAAAATAATTTCATAAAATGTGAAAATATTTCTGTGCCTAGGAGGTAAACTGCACTATGTCAAAAACCATAACCAAAAATCCAAAACGATAAATAAAGACACGACAGGCAAAAAATATTGATTTTCTGACAGCGAGTCAGCGACAGCAGTGACAGTTTAGTTAATCTGCTACAAAAGTGTGCACTGTTGCATTTCGAACAAGTAACAAATCTACGATCTCTATCTAAGTTGTTGCAAACAGGAGCCTGGTTTCTTTATCTCTCGTTTTAATCGATTAAGGTACCAAACGGTTCACTTTTGACAATGCTCCACCTTGAAGAAGATGTGGCTTCGGTTGCTAGGTTCCTATTTTAGCCCTATGTTTCTTTTCTGTATTGTTATTTATCCTGTGCTGCCAGTGAGAAGGTCTGGTATATCTAAAGGGGTAGCGACATAAGTCTTGCATCTTGATGGCTTTTTTTATTCAAAATAATAGTCACCAAGCCTGCCAATTTCTGAAAAAATGTATGAGCGGCTTCTTTTTTTTTTTTTTTTGTTTCATCGGCATCAACTGCTATGGTTATTAGCCTCGTGTTCTGTGTAGGCTTTGTTACTGTTTCCCAGCGCCACTTTAGGAACAGCACTGTTAATTAGAACCCAACAGTGAATGGTCGAGTGGGGAATCCTACCAAGGCATCAGAATTAATTTTAAATAATTAAATTAAATGAAAAAATCCCGGCCAACGGTGGGATTCGATCCTGAGACCTTCCGATCTCAAAGTCATGACTCTAACCACTGAGCCAACCCACCCCCCAAAAGAGCGGCTTCTTATTTTTATTATTATTTTTATTGTGTTTGATATAAAATATTTAAATGTAATCCATTATTCATGATTTTACGTATTGTAAACAGAATACATCGTATGTCGCAACCCTTGGATTTATCAAATCTTCCCACTGGCAGTTGATTTGTTTGGAATGCCTAATACAATATATGACAACCGCCTATATTCAAACAGCAGTTTAGGAGCTCTGGAGGTTTTAATTCCATTTTCGTCATTTTCCTTGTAAAAAGGACCATTTCTGTCTTCTTGGGATTGATACCACCGATACCACTGTTCCATAATTGTTCTCAAAATTCCCTATTTGCAGAATGACCAGCTCATCTGCTTACGCTATTGTGTAGTAACTGTCAATATTATATCTATTTCGTTATTAAAATAATCTATTTTACATAATGAATATACTAAAAAATTTTTGTCTGTCATTGTTAATTTAGTATGTGTTTAATTCTTATAAACCAAATGACAGAAATTGATTAATTTTCATGTGTTTCCCAGTGTATTAAGTTACCATGTTTTTGATACATATGAAAACTTATTCAATTTCGCTTCTTGGGCAGGTATTTTTTGTCTAAAGCTATTAGAAATTTTATTAATCATGATGTTGTTTACCAATTAGGTTGACTGATTTTTATTAATAAGTGACAATATCACATTGTTATTGTTATATTATCGCCGTTTCACGCTGAAATATTGGTATCCACAAGAAAGTTGTTTCTTCTTTCATAAAGTTTGGTGCAAAAAATAGAAATGTGGTTCATATGATTCACCATTTAAAAGATCTTTTAATTGTCTAATGTCTATCCAATCCTATTATTACAATTATTTTTCTTGAAAGAAAAGTGAAGTGAGAAAAATCGGTTGAGATCTGAAAAACTAAAGTGCAATTTTGGAAATATGAAAATTAATAATCCCCAATTATTCCTATGAAATTGTTAGAAATACTTGATAAGTTATCTATTGTAATTTTTTTTAAATATATTTTTTTGAGTGTACAAACTTCATCCAAATGAACCGCATCAACAATATATGTATTTAAAAAAGAAATACTCACACAAGTGACGTCACAAGTAAACTATTCCGTTTACTTGTGACGTAATACGCGTTTGAAACTAAAAATTGACCAGTACCCGGTGTATACCTTTATATTATTACCAGTAATAATTTTATGATTCAAATTTGATTACTTATATTTTATATAAAATATCTGCAGGTCAAGCTCCAGTCTAATAAGGAGCAACTTTTGTTAGTTCGCAAACAATACGAGAATTCCGAAAACAACGTCGCCGCTTTAGAGAAGCGTGTCAAGGAACAAGTGGCTCAACTCGATACTTGTCGTGCTCAATGCTCACAACTGGCTCAAGACAGAGATCTCATTCAGAAAAATTTGGAAGCACTCAAATCCGAGAAAAATCAACTAGACAAAAATCGAATAGAAGTAAATGCCATTGTCGAATCTCTCCAACAAGACTACGAGAGATTGCAAAAATCGACCAATAAATTACAAAAAGAATTCGACAGTTTACAAGATGAGAAGATATTTATGCAGTCTGAGATTGATAGATTGAATCAAGAAGCCGATTTAAGAGAAATCACTTTAAGAGGCGAAGAAGATCGGTGCAGTAGAATGAGAGAGGAGTTACTAAATATCAGAGAAGAACTGCATAAATCTTATTTGTCGTACGATATGCTAGAAGCTCAAAAATTGGAATCTGATAATATGATAGCCAGCCTTGAAAAAGTCAAAGGTATTTAATTAATTGTTGAGTAGATACTTAATTAAAGGATCCCGCAGCTGAATTTTATATATGTTGCAGTTTTTCACCTTCCAATTAAAAGTGTCCATGGGTACAAAGTTCTCCTATGACAAGTTTTTGAGAGACATGGTATTGAACTTGTGAATTCTCAAAAATAGTTTAAGACATAAACGTAATTTTGCTGACATTCGTAAATAATAAATGTTATTGTTTGGCTCTCTTAAGTCCATTCATATTAGGGGTTTCACCTGGGAATGAAAGATAATAAGCTGGAAACTTGTGTACACCGTCATTTTGGCGTTTTAAAAATTGTCTAAAAAGTGTCATAAAATATCGTGTCTGCGTTGTAAGTTATTCAAGGTCAAAAGTCACAAACATTGATTTTTTGCGATTTTCTAGGTTTCTATAGTTCCAATAATGTTATTATAAAAATTGTAGAGCCTAAAATTTTTCACGCTACAGTTATTAGATATGTGTGTGTTAGGTCATTGTATTAAGAACATTTTTACGAATTTAATTTCACACTACAGTTAGGCTAAAGCGGTTCACAAAAGTAATGCATTTGAGTCGAACGACGGTACGCGCGGCGGTGTAGCGTCGCTTTCTCGCAGCGCAGTATAGTGTGAACAACTCCATTTATTTACATTACAGCATCCGCCGAGGCGGCGGCCGACTCGGCGAAAACAGCGGTGTGTGTCTTTAGCCTTATTGGGTACGTGTGTGTCAGATCATTGCTTTAAGAATACGTTTACGAGTTTTAGTACATACCTTAGTTTGTTCTCAAATTGTTACTAATAGTTTTAATAAAATAAATCTCTCGCTGTTGAGGTCATAAAAATGACGCGTTAGAGGTTCTTCGTCAGTAGGCGGCAATCCAGAATTTATGACGAGTGGCATTTTTAAAACATTCTTATTTATTTTAATATTTACATTACGAAATAAGATGTTTGTTGTGAGTTTCCTTGTATATTGTAGTTAAAACAGATCAGAATGTTATATTATGTGGACTCATGATAGGTAACATCCTAATATACAACAGAAATATAGAATAATTATATAAACATATGGTAGTTACTTATAAAAAACATTAAATGATTATTGTTTGTTTTTAAGAAAAAATTACACATCAATACAAACAATATTCTACACGACAATTTGGTATATTTTAACTATTTCTTATTTTATTTAAATCAGATGTGTACAATAGAGTAGGACAATATTCAAAATCTGGTTGAATAATAGTCTTATATACTATTATGTTTGTCTGCATAGTGAAGTAAAAAAAAAATTACAAATTCTTTAAAAAAAACATTTGTATGTAATTAAAATGACTATTAAGTGATAAATGATTATCTAACATGAATGCTAAACATTTAAATTCAGTTACTAGCTCAATTTTGACATTTCCAATTTTAATTTCAGTTTGATTTAAATCTAATACTCTGTATTTAAATAGTAAACAGCTTTTGTTTTATAAACATTTAGTTTTGGTTTAATAATTTTTTAATATCTAGTAATATTCTTTAAAAAATTGTTCAGTTTTTGAATAGCTATATCTAGATCATTATCACTAACCAATAACATTTGCGTCATTAGCAAAAACATGTTCATAATCACGTTCACTACAATTGCTGATATCATTAATATAGAGTAAGCATATAATACTTCCCTGAGAAACGCCATGTACTACATCAATTATTGATGTTGAAAAAGAATCATTAATTATTTTGGTTACCTGTTTTTTGTTTCCAATCGGATATAGTAGGTGTCTAAGGCGCTGGCATTCATTTGCGACCAATTTGTGATTGAGAGACACCCGTCTTCGAATTCTACAGAAGACCATGTGAATGTATTTGCATGGTTCTCTATAGAATTTGATGGATGCCGTTGTTGTCATTATTTTTAGCGCAGAACGATTTTTTAAACATGCAATTTTTCTACTTTAATTAAAAAAATTACCCACCCTGTACAGTTGTTTTCCAAAATTATTAGTCTCGTATTTTGTTAGTCACAAAATATTCTAGAGAAACCATAACTTTTAATATTTATGAATGTAAGCAAACATTAACGTCTTAAAATATTTTTGAAAATTATGAGAATTCACAAGTTCAACACGCTGTATCTCAAAAATTCAGGAGATTCGACTGAAAGCCATTTGCCCATAAGCAAACTGCGGGGTCCTTTTTTAATTGCAGTTGAATTGTTTTTTGACAAATACATATATTGTACTATTTGTTATCCATGTACAGAAACAGAAAACAAAATTTATTTGTATTTTTTTTTTTTTTAGCTGATTATGAAATGCAGCTCGACAAAGTCTTGGGAGAAAGTACAGACGTCCACGACTCTTTGGCTAAAAAAGATGCTATAGCGACTAATCTAGAATTGGACAAAAAGAAACTACTTGAAGATATTAAAAAGGTAATTATTGTAGTGTATATATCGTCAAGTCTCCCAGATAAAACACATTCAATTTCTATAAATGTTTTCCCTACGGCCCATAACGGACAATTCTGTAAATAGTTTTTTTTTAAATAATTTTTAAAGTACCTACTTGGTGTAATTTAATATGTTTTTTAATATGATCTTTATTTCTTAAAGCTAGGTAATGGATAAGATTAGAAGGAGCTCATGTTGAACCGACATACAAAATTATTTAATAAAATCTGTGTTAAACAAAAATATATTTTACCGAAAACATTTCATTTTATCGATCATATATCTTTTTTAGTTTAATGTCCAAAAATATTATTGATATACCTTTATCATACAGAATGTAAAAAATCCACATTAAGTTAAAAAATTATTAAATAACGATAAATTATTTAAAAAATATATTTCCAGAGGAATCCGCAGAAAAACAAAATTATATGAACTTTTCATTTTTTTTATATTTTATGTTCTATCTAAAACCAGAATATTGTCCACATATTCAAGGACAACCTGTATAATACAGATATGGCTAATGTTTTACCGATCGTCTACAATAACCAACCTATTGCACCTACCTCTATTTACATCAACCACGACCTTTAGCGCACATGAACAACAAAATTTTTCAACAGATTTCTAATAAAAGTGAAAAGGCAGTATTTTTCCATATGATCGGTAAAACACTAATCAGGTCTGTATATAGACAAGTGATTGTATAAAAATTTGCGATTCTTTCAGTTAGATGAGGACAAGAAAGCTCTACAACATCAGTGCAATGATCAACAAAGTGATATTCAATCACTAAGAAAAGAATTACTTCAAGCTGAACAACAGAAATTGGACATCGAATCCGATAAAGTATCACTTTCAGAAAAATGTAAATTTTTAGAAATCGACAAAGGAAAGGTACCTTCATAAAAGATCAGAAAACTGATGATTAACGATGACTAATCTTAAACATACTTATTTTTCAGATTGAAATAGAGCTGAACCAAGTAACAAGAGAAAGAAATGATCTCAGCAATCAGCTAAGTTTACTAGGTAGAAAAAGAGATGCGCTCAATGAAGAACTAGTCAGATGTCGACAGCGATTGGAACAAGCCAACGAAACCAACGCCAGAATCAATCGAAATTTAGAAGACTTGGTTAAAGAGTGTGAAGAAAAACAGGTGAATTTTTTCAATATATCTAATACTTTCTTTTTGGATTTTTGTTTAATTTTCTCCCGCTCTTTTTTTTTCTTTAATCGAAATACAATACATGTTGTAAAAAATGTACTAAATTGGGATATGGAGAGAGGGAGATAGGAACTGTCATTTCAGAAAAACTTATATACACGGTGAACCTGTCAGGGTAGTGGAGTGTCTGCCCATTTTTGTCATGCCAGGATTGTACTCAGTTTTTTACTAATTCAATAAAAGTATACATAAAAAACTAATACTTTTTACTTAAGTATTTTCGGTTCATGGTAAATACTAGATCTACTGTGTACGAAGCAGGCATGGATACTTCGGATCCTTCAGAATGGTTTTTAAAGATAAAAGATGCAGGAAGGAAGAAGAAGCAGAAGAAGAAAAGGAATGGCACAAGAGAGAGAGAGAGAGAGAGAGATATGCTTTATTGTCGTAAAAAAATTTACAAAAATTTTATAGACAAAGCGTGTAACTTAAATACTAAACATATTATAAAAATAACTAAACAGCAGAAAAAACAAACAGAAACAAACAGACAAAATAGGAATAACAATTGCAATGGATATGCAATATCCGTCATTATAATTATTCTAATTTAATTTTTAAATTTAAATTTAAACTTTAATATTTAATTATTTAATTAATGCCATTGTATGTGGAACTCAAATGTCTAAGGTACGTTATAAAATTCTGCTACTGTGTAATATGGTCTTTCTAGAAGAAAAGCTTTAGCCAGTCTTCGGAACTTATCGTATGTATTTATAGATTTTAATTGCATCGGAAGGTTATTATACAATTTTTTGGCATTGTAGGTAATGGAATGTTTTAATAGGTCAGAAGTGGGTATTGTTAAATAAACATCAGTCTCTAAATTTCTTGTAGGATATCTACGAGTCGGTCTTTCGGATAAATTTTGAATGTGCTTGCGAACTAAGCAGACGGATTCGAAAATAAATAGAGCAGGAAGGGTTAGAATTTTGAAATTTTTGAAGTAATTTTCGCAATGTGTCCTACTACTTAAACCAAATACATAGCGGATTGCTCTTTTTTGCAGTTTAAAAATAGATTCGAAAAGGTATAAGCTACAAGAACCCCAGAAAGGTAAACCATAGCGAAGGTGAGATTCGAATAAGGAAAAGTAGGTTATTAATGCAGTAGAAGGAGTCAGCTCTTTAGAAACCGATTTAATGGCAAAACATGCGGAGGATAATTTTTTTGCTAAGGTATCTATATGAGCAGACCATTTTAGAAGAAGGAAGAAGAGGAAAATGAAAGGCGCAGGAAAGAGGAAGAGGAGAAAAGGGAAAGGCGAGAAGAGGAGAAGGAATGGCGCAAATAGGAAGAAGTAGAAAAGACAATGCGCAGGAATGAAGAAGAAGAGGAAAACGAAATGCGCCGGAAGGAGGAAAGGGAAAGGCGAGAAGAGGAAAAAGAAAGGCGCAGAAAGAACGAGGGAAATAGAGAAGGAAGAGAGGCGTAGAAAAGCAGACGTGGAAGTTATGAATGGTTTGCTACAAATTCAAGAGAACCTTAAGCAAGAGTAGGCCAGCTTAACAATTGAGTAGATCTCTTTGCATAATAACAAGAGAATTTAAAAACTAATTTAGGACAGCATCATGAGAATCTAAAAACTAATTTAGAGAATTTAAAAACTAAATTAGAGCAACAATAAGAGAATTTAAAAATGAATTTAGAGCCACAACAAGATAATTTAAAAACTAATTTAGAACAACAGGAAAATTTAAAAGCTAATTTAGAGCAACAGCAAGATAATTTAAAAACTAATTTAGAACAATAAGAACAGGCTAGAGTAGAGTTGGAAGAACAAATAATTAGAACTGAAATGATTGAGTTAGAAAGAAGAATTCGTAACCTAGCTTCGGTAAGCAACATAAAGCTGAAAACAGTATCTCGTCTTCATCTATAACCGAACCATGCCACATTCGAAACCCAGCTTCACAAAACCATACTAGCAAGACCATTAAGCCATCCACGTTTGATGGTCGGGCAAGATGGGAAACGTATCGACTACACTTTGAAGCCACAGCCAGAACCAATGGCTGGGCCGAGAAAGAGCTGGTGGCTTCACTGACAGTGTCGCTGCGAGGACAGGCAGCAACCGTTTTATATTTACTTCCACAAGGGGAGCACAGTTATTCGTCTCTCGTCCAAGTCTTGGAGACAAGGTATGGCCAGCAGCATTTCAAACGGGTATTCCAAAGGCAGCTAAAGGTTCATAGTAAGAAACATAATAAGACTCTACAGGAATTGAGACCAATATAAAAAAATAGCTTCATCTGGCCTATCCACATGCGCTCAGAAATTTCCAGGAACAAATCGGCATACTGGCATTCATCGCTGGACTACAAGATGTGGAAATATAGTAAGCTCTTCGGCTACAACACCACAAGACGCGAGAAACTGATTGCAGCTCAGGAATATAAAGCAGCAAACCTAATATCTAGATCTCGCGCCAAATTGAGAGACATTAGATTCCAGGAAAGTGAAGAGGCCAATACTAATACCATTCCCCAACCTCTCTCGTAAATCTTACACATCCTGCAAAATATGAAACGAAACAGCCAAAATAGAAGCAGAAGATGATTCAACTGCGGAAGAGTCGGACACTTTTAATGTACCTGTAGAAGCAGGGCTTGTTCTATAAATCAAGAATTGGGGAATGAGGCCAGGAAGTCACCTAGATCAATCTACCAAAGCCCATCAGGAAATCCAACAAGAAATAATTACAGCAGTTATGTGCATCGAAAAGGTCGTCTCTTTAGCAACGCAGAAATTCTTTCCAGGCTACCCTGTTTAGAAGGATATAGCCGGTACTGTAAAAGGCTCGAAGAACAAGAGGAGCCGGTTGAAGAAGTTAGTCTTCAGGCAACCACCATCAAGCCAGGGGATGAAAAATACGGAATCACTCTTAAAAGCCTGAGAAAAAGAAAAAACACTATAATTCGCACAAAAATTGTTAATGAGTGGTAACAAGTAAATGTCAAATGTCACAATAATGCTCAGCTGCCACCCCTCCATTTTCCTGTCTCCCTTCTCCATATCTATAGTTTTTTAATTGCATTGTTGCCATATTTGTCGCTTTTTAAATGGAACACCTTGTATGTTGTTTAATTTTTTGATTCTACCATTCAATCCCAGTTCAACGATAAGGAAAACTTAATATTTTATGTTTTTTTTTATTATTATTGTATCTTTCATTTAAAAAAAACTAATGGAACTAGTATTTAGAAAAAAAAACGGTTAATCTTGATGTCTCAATAATCCAAAACTTATTGTTTAACAATTAATGCAAATTTTACCTTTTCTGACATTTTTTCTCACACTGCTTTATCTATTACATCAAACTTAATCTCACCACGACGCGTTTTTTTTATTTTTAAGTGCAATATTGACGCGATGGACAAAGAATTACAGCGATTACAAGAAATGTTGGCATCGATTAGAACAGAAAAAGAAACTCTAGAAGCAGTCCTTTTTGATACGCAAACCAATCTCGAAGCTACCGAAGACAAAAAAACACAACTAGAAAAAGAACAACAGGACTTGCTGGTAAAACAAGAAAAACTTAAAGCTCAAGTAGCTAAACTAACTAAAGACTTAGAACGATCCGAAAAGAAGTTTATAGAAGTTAAAACCAGTATGACACACTCTGCGGGAAATAAAGAAGTTGAATTTAAACAGACTCTGGATAAATTGAAGCAACAGAATGAAGATAATGTCAAAAAATTGACGGAAGAACGGGAACAAATTAGAAGTTCTTTGGAAAAGAGATTGCAGCAATCGTTACATAAGCTAGGAGGTGAAAAAGATGCAGAGATTCACCAATTGGTGGAGAGGATAGAAAATTTACAAAATCATATCGAAAATTTGTGTCAGCAACACGAAGAACTAATGTTAAGAGCTGAAAATGATAAACAACAAGCTTTATTAATCGGTAAGTTTCATAATATACTATTTTTTCATAAGTACAAAAAGGTACAGAAAATACTTAAAATACATAAATTATTGGCTCAATGACAAATACCTACCATTACTTATTATTAAATTTGTATTTAACTATAGTACCTACAAAATATTTATATTCATTTATTTTCCCAGATATTTTAGATTTTTTTAATAAAAATTATTTATTTTTCGTTTGACCTATTGGTATCTTAAAAAGTAAAAGCCGATTTTTATTCCAGCAAAATAAACCGTAGTTTATAGTCCATTAAAAAATACAAAGCTTCAAATATAATATACAGTCCTGGTGACGCAAGAAAGTTACAGAATTAAAAATCCACGAATTGGTTCGAAATGAACCAGTTGTGTGGCCACCGAGGTCGCCAGATATAATTCCTGGGGATTTTTTGTTTTTTCTATCTGAATTTTGAGTTTTTTTTAATCAGTTGTTTATTTTAATGCCTTTTACAGCAGTTGAAAAGAAGTATCAGCTTAGGAATGTATAGAGTTTTTCTCAACTATGACAATAATTGCCACTTTTTCTTATTGACCTCTGATCATAAAATTTTTTCAAATCTCTATAAAAACAACACATTGTGTCTAGTTTTTGTTTTTACAACATTAAACACTTACCGGTTCGGCTGAAAATTGAAGATTTCAAGGTCCCATTATTTTAAAATGGCTTTAGATAAGAGATCATTAACATAATATTACAATTAAGAATTTTGATAAAATGAAGAGATAAAAATGTATTATAATGCAGTCTGTTTACTGCTTTTGTTAAGGTGAAACATCTGTGTTCAGCAACGACTAATTTAGTTTAGTTTGTTAGTTATTCAGTTTCTGTTACAAATTAAATTAAAATAGGTATGTCGAAAAATACGTTCTGTAAACATAAGTGCAGGAATTAACACAATTAGATGTGTTCCAAAAAAGAAACAAACGTTTGTGAAAATTTGGAGTGAGGGTAGCCATATGTGAGTAGTAGGGATTAAGTGTAAGGGGTTAAAGAAAAGGTCCTTTATTTCTCACAAGTCAATTTAATTGGCGACCGGTTTCGAAGCTGTCACTTCATCATTAGGCACACCTAAATGGAATGTCAAGGAGTCAGTTGTAATAAAAAACAATTATAAAAGCATGAACGGACTTTAACATATACAAAATAACAGAAAAAACACAAAAGAAAGTTAAACAATAACCTTGACTCACCTTGACTATTTCCATAAAGGAAGCGCTACATAAAGTTTAACAAAACGAGTTAAAAAAGTCATATGTAATACAGTAGTATTTTTTAAAAAATATTTTAGGTTAGGTTAAACCGCGAGATGTATGTTTGAATAAATTAATTAAAACACATGTAAGACAATTATTAACTAAACAACACAAAATAGTTTTTACAAGCACAAACAGTTTAAAAATTTTTAAGGATATAACGTCAATTAATGAAAGTAAAAAGTAAAAAAAGTAAAAAGTAAAATTATCAGACTCTCAAGACATCTATCTAGATTTTTAACGAATCAATGTAGTAAACTGTAAATTTTAAATTTAGCGGATAAATAGTGTACTAACAAAGGTGTTATTTACTGAAAGTGAGTATAGGTGGCGGTGACAAAATTTATTGAAAGTAAAAATATCAAACTGGGAAATGAGAAAGCAAAAAATACTAACAAGAAAATTAGAACACTGAACAAGAAAATATGAAAATTCATATTACAGGGAAATTTGAAGCAGATAATCAAAAAAAAAAAATATCTGCTTCAAATTTCCCTTTTACATATGAATTTTCATATTTTCTTGTTCAGTGTTCTAATTTTCTTGTTAGTATTTTTTGCTTTCTCATTTCCCAGTTTGATATTTTTACTTTCAATAAATTTTGTCACCGCCACCTATACTCACTTTCAGTAAATAACACCTTTGTTAGTACACTATTTATCCGCTAAATTTAAAATTTACAGTTTACTACATTGATTCGTTAAAAATCTAGATAGATGTCTTGAGAGTCTGATAATTTTACTTTTTACTTTTTTACTTTTTACTTTCATTAATTGACGTTATATCCTTAAAAATTTTTAAACTGTTTGTGCTTGTAAAAACTATTTTGTGTTGTTTAGTTAATAATTGTCTTACATGTGTTTTAATTAATTTATTCAAACAGACATCTCGCGGTTTAACCTAACCTAAAATATTTTTTAAAAAATACTATTGTATTACATATGACTTTTTTAACTCGTTTTGTTAAACTTTATGTAGCGCTTCCTTTATGGAAATAGTCAAGGTGAGTCAAGGTTATTGTTTAACTTTCTTTTGTGTTTTTTCTGTTATTTTGTATATGTTAAAGTCCGTTCATGCTTTTATAATTGTTTTTTATTACAACTGACTCCTTGACATTCCATTTAGGTGTGCCTGATGATGAAGTGACAGCTTCGAAACCGGTCGCCAATTAAATTGACTTGTGAGAAATAAAGGACCTTTTCTTTAACCCCTTACACTTAGTTTATGAAAATGATTTCCCTACATAACATTCTACGTGCATGGTCCAATAAATGTACAAACATCCTTAGACGAAAACTGGATGTCCATAGGACATTCAAATGGGTATTATTCAAATTAATTGCAGTATTGAATTTAGCATGGATTTTAAATCTTTGACATCCGACTTATTAGGACATAATTTGTGATTATTAAACCGGACGTTCTGATAGCAAGATATTTTTCCGAAATGTTCAATTTAGGCTTATACAGGGTAACGAAAAAGTCTGACAACAGTCTGTGAAACGAATAAATGTATAATTATGAAATTGTAGAATGATAAATGCAACTGTATTTTTCAGTTTTTTTAGAGTTCATGTCAAATTTATGTAAAGTCTACTTGAATTTTTTTTTAATGGCAACGTAGGTCGAGTAATATATGGAAAAAAACTTATTTTTTTCCTCTTTTCAAGAATCCTAAAAAATTACCACAATATTAATTAAAAACCCTATAAAAAAAATTACGGTCCAGCGCCTTTATACCTTAGAATATATATACTCAGGAAGGAGGAATCCTAAACGACCTTGGAATCGCGATGGTATCTAATTTTGACAGTGAAAGTGACGAATGCGCTAGTTCAGTGTGATGTCATTTTGGTTCCACTGACATTTAATTCTAACAAAAACATCAATAAATTTGACATATACGTTTATACTGTTTTAAGTTTATTTCTAAATATTGTTTACAGGTCATAAATAATAGTTGAAAGGTATGTAATTGGTAACTAAACGATTGTATACTTGATGCATGTTATCTACTTACTTTAGGAATATATCTATACAAGTGAAAAAACGATATAATTTAGGTAAACAAAACGAACAAAACGCACTCAAAAAATCTACTGTCACTTTAATTGTCAGTGGAACCATAATTACATCATCACTGAACTAGCGCATATGGCGATTGTTTCCAGTCTACCAGTGACGTACTGTCATAAAGGGGCGTAGAAAAGAAAATAATAAATTCTCATTTGCATATTATCTAAATTTACCGATTTCGCACATTTTAACGAATTGCTATTTTCTTGCGAGAACTTTGCATTTTTTTTTTATTAACCTTCATTATGTGAATAAATTTTACTTTAAAATTGCATGTTGGGTGGGATAAATATAGGAAAATATTTTTGGGATAATTTATAGAGGGATTTCATTTGAAAAATAAAAGCAATAATGTATTTAAAAAAATATTGACTTTTTTACGTCTTTATTATGACAATGTCTTACTAATCTACATTTTACAAATTATTAAGGTTTGAAAAATAAATATGTTTTGTAGATATGCGTTAAAAAAAATTAAATACTTCTATTTAGGTCAAACACCGCTGTGCTATTTCTTTCTTAGATGTTTTTGTTGGAGTACATATAAAAATTTCTAATATCGAAGAAAATTTCTGATCATTTTATTACATAATATTATTAGTAATATTTTTGCAGGACAATTTTGCATAAGCAGGTAAAACACCTTTCCAAGAAAGGATCTTATAACGTAATAATGATTCTATGAGTGCAAAATAGATTATTTTTAAATGTACATTCAACGCACTTTTTGTATGCTTAGTCCAGTTAAGATGAGAGTCAATTTGTACTCTAAGGTTTTTGATATCATTTGTAATACTTACATGAAACTACTGAACGTTACCTTTTATTGTTTCTATAGGAAGAGGCCATATTTTTGTAACTGTATAATGAAGCAACATAAGTTTTATCAAATGTTTGTAAGTTTTTATAATTAAACCATTCGAAAAATTTTATAAGATCTGTTTCTATTAATAATTTTAATCAATTCCAGTTCTCTGCATTTTACAGAATAACTGTGTCGGCTGAATAACTTTCCATCTTTATTTAAACGACAAATTATTTAAAATAAAATTAAACAAGATAGGACCTAAGACAGTATCTTGAGGCATGCAATATGCTACTTATTTCTTTACTTGAGATATTATTAATTCTATTTGTGTTCGTTTTTGTAAATAATTTGTAATAAATTATATAGGGTGCATCACATTCATACAATAAACTTCTATTATATGAAAAAAACGACACATGATATAGTTAGTAAATAATTTATTTACTTATATACTTCAACCGGACCACTTTTATTGTTGGAACAGCTGTTGGTAGAAGTCTTATTCTTGGTATTGAGGTTCGATCAAAATAATTGCTTTAGAATGACGTGAACACAAAAAAATTAAGATATTTTGGCTCACAATTTGTTTGCTGCATAAACCCAAGCCATAACTTTGTTTTTTGAGAATCTTTAGGAAATCTGAAAATTGTCTACCTGGGATTAATTTATATAGTTTGTAAATCTAGAATCTTTAAGAAATCTGAAAATTGTTTACTTGCAATCAATTTATAAATCTAAATTGAACAATAATGTCATGAAATTCCTAAAGCCTACCCTGTGTCTAAAGCAAGCGCGACCTTCAGCTGGCCTCGACTCATGTTCGAGGCGACGGAATG